CCGAGGTGACTTAAGGAAACTTTTAAACGGGGGATAAACATTTCTCCCAGCCTCCAAACGACAAATATCTTTCATTACTTCAGTTAGGGGGTAATCAAATTTTTTTACCCCGAAATAACTCACATTTTTAAAGTGTTCATTTCAAATTGGCCAACGCACTCAAGGGAATTCCTAAATATCAATTTACAAATGTGCGATTGTTCACTTTTATCGCAGGAGACAGTGGAATAAGACGAAAGGTGTTTAATTAATAGTATTTCGCAGCTCAAACTATTGGAAAATCAATTTACGATGTTTTTACGATCAGACAATCTTCGTCTGATTTTTACTTCCGAATGGAAGCATTGCAATCGCCCGATCCCGACCAGAAAAAAAAATTCTAATTTTGCTTGGAAATGATGTAGAATGGTCTGAAATGTAAAAATACAAAAGTATAGGGGTGATTTTTTAGTTAAAAAAAGATAAGGGTGGGTAAAAAAATTCCAAAAAATTTAAAATTTCATCAAATAGTAGGTAAGAAATGAGGCTAACTATGGACGGAAAATTCAGCTCGATCGCTCGAGGCGTTTGTGAGAAATTGTGATTTGTTTATAAATCGTTTTTTCGAAATATCTCCAAAACTAATCAAGGTATTCAGTTTTTTTTAATCTCATTCTCTTCACCATGATTAGTTATATTGGAATCGATCAAAAATTGGAAAATAAACTAGGAAAAAATCATAGTTATTGTCACTTTTATGGTTTTGAAAAAAAAAAGTTAAATTAATAAATTCAAGTAATGCATCTATTTCGCACGGAGCAAGTGAAATTCCGCAGTTGTAGTTTTTCATCGCTAGTTCATATATTTAAATCAATAATGAAAGTTTTACAATGACATCGCCACTTCGGTCTTTGAGGGATAATTCTTACATATTTTTCTAAATATAAATTTTTCCGCGTCGGAGACTGCAAAAAATATAGTAAAATAAAAAATTTGTAATCGCATGCAATAAAAAACTGCTCATCTCACCCCCTCTCTCTTTTTTCTCAAATAAGAATAAACAGTATAGTTTATTTATCCTTATATTATATTACATTTATTAAAAATAACTATGAACTATCCAGCGAAAAAAGGCTAATCTCAGACTTTCTCCTCGAAAATTCATCGACACGAACATGAAGATCTATTTAATGATTGAAAAGGCTGTTCAATCGATTGGAAAAATCGTGAAGTGCCTCCCCGTAAATTCATACACAAACTCGATACCCGACGACCCGACCCCCCTACGCGTTTGCTAATTGACCCTAGACCGTACACATTAAAAAAATCTCTTTCTGTTTTGTTACCTCAAAACAAAAGGCGAAAATCGACAATGTATGAGCCCTTGGAGTGACCCGGAGAAGGCGCGGGTTATAACATCGTGCGACGAATCGATGTAACATGTCGTCGAGGACCCATTGTTTGGGCCTCAGATGCAATTACATCGAGGCGGGGACACCATTGTTCCCCATCATCGATAGCGTTTTTGTTACTGTTACTCCCGCCGTAAATTTCTTTCAATAACTTTCTTTTCACTCCTGCTCACTCCAACTCCACCCCCTTCCCCCCTTCACCCATTTTTTCGATTTTTTGACGCTGCAATAGAATGGTGGAGAGTGGGGGGCTTCGAGGGGAATTTGGCAAGGTGTAACATTGCCCGGTGGGAACCACTTGTCCGTGATACCCAGTTGGGATATTTCTTTTATTTTAACCGGAGGAATTCACCGATTTGATTTTCAAGTGTGTGTCACAATAATACGCGATAGGTGAGGTACGATGGGGAACTTTATTATTTACTCGGTTGGAAAAGCTACAGTATTTCTGTTGTAAAGTTTCAAGTGCCGTCAGTGGGGTATATAGTCGGCCACTTCTACGACACACGCATACAAATCGCTACCATACGGTATGGGATTTGATCATTCAAGGGTTTCATTAAATCGAGATGCTAATTGTAGGGAAGGTGCTGGCCCGGTTGCGAATATTCTGTTTTTTTTTTTATGGGCTCTCGTGGTCATGAGCATATCCAAATACCTTTTACAATTTCATACTAATTATATAATTTCTTCCTATTGATTTGACTGATCAATTGCACTGTGTAATTGAAAAAATTGATGCATCAATGAAAAATTGATTCAAAGAAAAGACTATTATCTTTTTACAATTTCCTACTTGCATGAATCAGTGAGTACATAAAAAATGGGATAGCATCTGAATCATCGGAGATGTTAAATTTATTATTATTGTAATTTTGTACTTACCACCAGTTCTTAATCATTGACCCCGCGGCGATGGGTTGACAGAGTGCAAAATTACCGGGTATTATTCGAGTGCGAGGAAAAAATCTGAGAACAGAACTCATCCTTTCATTTTGTTCAACAAATTCAATTGAGTAAATCACGTATAAAATATCCTAGATTGATACATTTGTTTGCATATAGTATAATTATGAATGTTCATACAAAATTACAATTGTGAAAAATGATACAACAATTAAACTATTGAAATTAATAGGAAGACACTTGTTTGGAGTCATTGTTAATTTTAACATGGGGCTTTGTTAATTAAGTAAATAAAATAGATATTTATAGATAGTTGTTTAATAAAAATACTAAAGAAGTGGAAAATGCGGAAGCCATGGTTTACAATACTGCTACTTCTGGGCGGACTGTTTACCTGAGTAATTTGTCAGTTCATAATACTTCTAAATCTAGGGGCGGTGTGGCCCGGCTGGATAGAGTCGGCAGGAGGTCGGCTGACATAATCTTGAGCTTTTGCCAAACGGTGCGTTGATTTCTCAAAGACGGAAAGAGGCAGAATAGAATGTGGGGGTGAGGAGTGTGCGCCAAAGAGAAGTTGAATCCAAAGAGCGACCGACATTCGTGTTTCAACGGATGCCTCAGTGAACTTTACGGTTGACTTTGCAATTATCGTCAAAACGATATAGGCCGCCATTTATTTCTGGTAATGGATCCTACTTGACGGCAAACTTGGAAAAATATATCTGCCTGAGAATTACCCAATGCAAAGCCAGGTGAAAAAATATTTATAGAGAAAATTAGATTGAAAGATAATTCAATCATGTATAGGATTTTGAAGGAATATTGATCGTTGATGTTACCGATTATTTGAATAATATACTTGTAAACACAACATCACCTCGTGAAGTCCTGAAAGACAGCAGGGTGCTGCGAAGAATGTACATACACATAAACTGAAGTAGCATACAACATTTCAGGATAATCAGTCATGCGTAGAACAAGAGTCACTTAAGCCATTAGAACGAGATCGAGGACCAGAACAATTTATCCCAATCCCGCATCACTACTCAATCCAAATAAAAGCCTCCAAGGAAAATTCGTGAGAATATTCCCTTACCTGTCGAACAAAAACCGTTAAACATCTTGATTTACCCCAGATATCTCACAGATATATAAATCATAAAAACGAACACTAAAAAACTGTCTAATGATAAATGGCTTCATAGAGAGTCCAACCTGTATACACATCAGGCTGTGCATTTATCGGTTTTATGCTACAATATTGACTGGAGGATCATCGTTAGAAATAACAGAACTGATTTAACAATACGAGCGTGACACAAATGTTGACAAAGACTCTTCACTAGCTTTGCCAAGAACCTCATTTAAAGAAAAACTGTTATTGAAGAGTGGAGAAGGGAAAAAAAGTGAAAAGAGTCTTGGTTGTGACGATTATTTACCTGTATACCCACTGGATGATTACAACTTTTCCAAGCCGCCGACAGAGCCTCTTCTTTTGTACTGCGATTACCACTCAAATAACCGTGAAATGTCCATGAAATTTGTGGTATTGTGCCCGAAATACAAAATAGGTGGAATTTCCTACTTAAAAACGAAATAGAACAACTCAAATTTTTTAATAAAAATGTTTTTTATTTCGCTGTGATTTTTCAACTTTCTTTTCAGTCTAGAAATTACAGTCAATTTCTAGTGTTATTGCAAGCATTCCCGTCTTACACAGAATATTAAACTGAAATCAAAATTCAAATTCAAAATTACATAATTTTACCGTCTTATGATGAAGTCTTAAGCAAATTATGATTATTCCGTCGATTTTTTCAGATAAGTGAGAGTGAAAATTAGTGATCAGAATCGAGGGTAGAATGAGTCAGAAATCAAAGGTAAAAAGGAAATCAGGGCACAAGTAGACACTGTTCGATTTCCTGAAGTAGTGGCAGACTAGACTTTGAGGGATAATAAAATTGTCAATTGTCTGTCAACTTCTTACTTCTTTAGAAGTAAATGGAGACTCTTAAAACTTCCGAAGCAATCGACAACTTTAATTACGTTAAGTTTTGACTCCGACAAGACTTAACATTTAATTTTTTGAAATCTTCGATTTTTAAGTTCTGAATCTTTCTGCGCCTAGCTTTTGAAAATTATGGAATATCTCATTGAAACTTACAATAATGAAAACTCGAAATAATGGATTGTAAGTTTTTCTAGCCTTATTCAAAATCCAAAGTCTAGAATATTTAGTACTTTGAGATTTTTAAAGTACTAAGTTCCATTTAGATTGATACTAGGAAGAATTCACGTCTATAAATGTCGCCAGGACTTGGGAGATAAAAATTTCCAAGTACCAAGTGCAATACTACTTCGTAGTTGGCAGAAGGACAATAGGAAACTTTCCAAAATCAAATTTACCAGTTACTGCATTGAACCTAGAAAAAGGTCTTCTCAATAAAACTCACAAATGGTCTTAGATAAAATTTATTTGAGTACTTGAGAATTAAAGTTCTCTGATGATAAAATCAACCTGAACCATCTTAAATATTAAGACCGGAATTCCCGCACTGTAATAACTATTCTAACCTAATAATTGTCATCCATAACATGAATTTTCTATCAATTATAATAAACCTCTAAGTAAAAACTTTTAATAAACTTTATTACATTATATTATATTACACATCCAGGCGTTCAAGTGTTGGATAAATTAATTTACATTTTTTCAGGTGCTTTGTACATGTCACAGATGATTCTCTCGATTGGAATGATTCCAATGGTTCTTCTGAAGAAGAGTTCCTCGATCGCATGTGCAGAGACAGATCGAAGAGTGGGTAAAAGCAGAAGTAGTTTGCCAAATCTCAAGGCCCCGAGAGAAGGGCCAGAGCCAAACGACGCTGATAATCGCTCCCCAAGTGCCAATTGTGCGCCATCCCTTAGTCTTGCAACTGTCACAGGATCTCTCAGTCTTCTTTCCATACTAGGTGATACAGATCCATTGCTGCTTCGACTGCTGGGGACCAATTCGCAGTCTAGACCAGCTTTAAAGAGAACGATCGCGCGAAGGCAAGCGTACTCATGGGGGTCCAGGTTCATGGAGTGGAATCCTGCCAGTGTTTCCTTGAATCTGGTGACTTCGATGGCGAGGGATAGGCCCTCAGGGCCTAAAGTGAGTAGAAACGTCGGGTCTAGGGTCGGCAGCATCTGGGCTGCTGCCAAAAGGAATAACTCTCTCCAGGAGGCCTCCAGAAGGGTCAGTTGGTCCTCCATTGTCAGTCCTGTGCCTGAGGCCAAATCACGGGCCCAACGCACGTTCAGAAACAGAAGGCGTGCTGCTTGCTCGCAAACAGACTCTGCACTTATCGAAGGCAGAATTGGAATTGTTGGCATTCCTCCTACGTTTACCGGTAACTGAAACAATTATTAACTCAATGTTAGTCTTTGATGATCATTTAAAATGTGAAATTTCAAGGAATTTGAAGAAATATTTTAATTTAGATTAAATTCGATTCCACTAACCCATTATTTGCGATATGAATTTTATATTAATGTAGTATTGTCTTGGTTGTCATTTATTTTAAATCTCCAAATGATAAAATAATAGTTTTTTTTATAAAGCACTACAAAAATTTAGATTTCGACAAATATCTCAAATCAAAAATTGATGAAAACAGCAAAATTTCGATACTTAAAAATTGGCGTTGACCAAAGTCAGAATGGCATTAGAAATTATTCAAGATTGAAGAGAAAAATTGTGAATTGTGAATTGTGTCCTCACCTTACTTACAGCCATACTGTTACAGTAAATGGGGTGCGGTATGTGGTGATGTGGTGGTGGTGGTGGTGCTACCGACACCCTAGGCTCACTTGGTGGCTTTGGTAAAGCGAGATCGAGGGCAGCAGCGGGTGGTGGTACCATGCTGCTCATCATTTCGGGCTCTTTAAAATATAGTGCCATTTGCCTGCGTAGTGTGGAATTTCGTGGTCCTCGTTCATGCTGAACGGCTGGAAATAAACAAAAGCAATTTTTATTTCTCTTCGCCACAATGAAAACCAGTGCCGAACCACCGCAACATTCTTCATTGTTTTTGATACTGCACTGTTGGAAAATTATGCTTGAAATTTCAATTGGAAATTGCGCTGAATTTTTAATTAATAGAAAACGAAATATTATATGTGATGCTACTATTTGTGACTTTGAAACGCATATTTAATTTCATATGAAAATTAACAAACATTGATTATCAAATCGACAAATTAATTTACAAAATTAAAGACTAATACTGCAACTGTAATCTGACATTAAGATTTTAAACAGTTTTTTAAGAGGTGCGTTGTCAAGTGCGTTGTCAAATTGTCAAGAAAATCATATCTTCGACCAAGAAATGAAAAATCTCCGTCAGTAAATTATGTGCACGTTGAAACGATATTTATAATTTATTCATAATAAAAATGTGGTTCCTCAGGACAAATTCAAATGAGTGAATTTGCTCCCAAGTTTTCTTTTCTCAATTGCGAAAGATTTCAATGTTAAAACCATTTAACTTCATTGATTGGTCATAATTTTTCTCTTTTTTTTTAGAAGCGTATAGAGTACAGCACTCACCATCTTTATTCATCCCCGCCTGTATGCATTTGGCAAGCCTACAAGCCCTGCATTGATTCCTGTGCGTCTTATCAACCATACAGCCACCCTCAGACTTTGCTTTGCAGACATACTGTCGATTCCGCCTGATAGATCGTTTGAAAAAACCAGCGCATCCATCACAAGCGAAAATGCCGTAGTGTTTACCCGAGGAATGGTCTCGACATACCTTGCAGGGAATGTCATACAGGATACGACCTAAAACATAACAAAAGATATTGCTTTAGCACCTGGTCGTTCGCCACCTCAACGAAGCATTAAACCATTAAACCATCTTGCCATCTTGACGGCGAAAGTTGCCCCCCAGTATACCCCATCTTTACTTTTTATTTTCTAATTTCTTGTTATTCAAGTCCCCAGCTACTAGGGATCAGGTATGTTGAAGACAACGGGCCTTTCAACCAGTGAATAAGGAAGCATTTAGTCCAGAACCTCACTAAATGCTCGTTTAAATGGGCATAAAGGAGACCTTGGATTGATTGGTAGATCGTGATACGATGGAGTGTCGTGTTTCTGCGTTGCTCACTTGAAAATGTTTTTTGTGAGTAACCTGGCCAGCAGCCACATCCGGTCCATTCAGTAGTTCTACCCCACCTCATTCAGTACTCAGGGACTCAATGGATGCGAGGGCGGAGCACTGAAGTCTTTTTTTTTTTTTAATGGAGAGGGAAGAAAATATATGTATGGTGGAGGATTGGTGCTGAGATGAGATCCTCGGATTTTAACAGGACCTTTCGCCTTACTGACGACAGGTATTGAGATGCTAACTTGGCGACAAATCGATGGCTATTCAGATGGGTTGGGGTGTCATTCAACTGTGATTCCGTGTTTTCTCTAAACGGGTTCGTCTACTCAAAATAAATGTGACAATTCAATGGACGCTTTTGGGGAATTTGACAGGAATGGTTTAGTGTCGAAGAAAATAATTCTTTTGGGGTCATTATTCGGTGGGAATGAGAGGTTCAATGGGTTGAGTTTATTCAAGTCATCTGAGTTATCAAGTTGTGAAAAAGAAAACATTTTTTGTTGGAATTGACGATTGTCGACTAAAAAAAAAGATGTGGGTAAAATTTTCTTTTTTCAAGAAAGGAAATTCGAACCGAAAAATTATAGTGGTTCAGATGATTCTAATTTATATTGTTCCAGATCATTCTAAATTATATTGTTTCAGATGATTCTAAATCATCTGAACATGACTTTACATCTTCTTAATGACTATTTTTAATTGAACAAGTGGTGTAAATATTGATAAAGGTGAAAATTGATGCAATGTACGAAACATTTTCCATTGAAAACTCTCATCTCAAAATGACAATAATTACTAAATAGGGGTTCATTTATATTGGAGATTTGACTTGTGAAAAACAGTTTAATGGCTTTCAATTACAGTGAGGTTTTCATTGCAACCTGTTGAGCGCTAGACACAGCGGCGTCACATTTATCATGACCGAAAGATAAAAGTTAGAGAAAACGCTACAGCTAGGCTCTCTTTCGATAAATAAATAATCAATTTCCATCGAAGGGCGGTGAAAGCGCATTCACATGTTCACCCACTGAATGATAGGGTAGTGAAATGTATGTGCTCTTACTTCATTGGAGGCTTCTCCGGTTTTCTGCATTATGCAGAAAATAAAGAACTGTCCTGCCATCGAGCTTCGTCACAACTCGACTCACGCAACTGGAATGACTACTACCACTCGGGTATTAATTCACGGTACGGTGAAAGGGAGAAAAAAAGAGGGAAAAAGTGAGAGAAATGGTAAACCGGGAGTACTCGATAACTTATCCCACCTGAATTTTTTATTGGCAAAGTTAAAGGCTGTATTTTAGTCCCGCGCCAGGCTCTCCCCAACTGAGGCTTTTTCCTCGGAGTTGTTCGGAGGCAGTAGAGACCTTATAAATTATTTTCCACCATTTTTTAACCAAAGGTTCCAAACCGATGCTTTGCCTCACGTGTCCAACGCTAAATTTCTCTATTTTTTATCGGAAGAGGGGCAAGGGAAAATTAAATACTGAAATTATCCGTCGGAGTAACTTTTAACGTGAATTTTGGCTTTGCACAGTCAGGATAGTCTTTCCAATTATTTTGAATAAAAGACTGCAATGTAATGAATGCCTGCTTTTAATTTCTTCATTGTTGTAAAAAAAAGAACGATATCATTTACTACAGATGACGAATTTCCATTGAGAAATTAGTTTGGAAATGTAATAAGTCTAAAATAGAGATTCAAATATCGTGATAAAAAATACATCCTCCTCTGATTGAGAGAATTAAGAAAAATCAAAATGGCAAATAATTTTAAATTGTACTTGTATCAAGACTAATGATTAGCCAGAGATTTACGATAGTGTAACGAGTGAAGGCAGTTTCACAGTCCATTAGGATGAACGATAAGGTGTCGAACAGTTACATGTGCATGGGAATTCACCGCCATGTGCTTGCGACACAAGTGATGATGAACATTGGTGAGGGCAATTTTGGATTATCAGAAAGAGGGGTGGAGAGGGAGTGAGGGGGAGAGGAGAGGGGGGAGGCGAGAGGGGGAGAAAAGGGTAAATTACGTGCACCGTCATCTGCTTGGTCGTTAGACTGGACAACCGCAACATTCGGAGTGTTATAGAGAAGGGTCACGAAGCCGGCGCCTCATTCACCCCAATGCAATGAATCAACTCAATAATTTTAACTTGCATGCCTCCTCTTTTTGTTTTCACTCGGCTTTTTTTTATTTTGCCCTGTAAACGCACTGATTGAAGACCAAATGACGCGTTTAAAGAGACCCCCTCACCCACGAGACAACCTGCTAATAATGATGTGATTCGTTCAGCAACATCTGTCGTTATTTTCACATGAATTCGGAACTTTAAATGCCAACTGCTATTTATTTCACACGTTTATTCATGGGAATCCTCTATTTTTACTCAGCCCTAATAACAATTTATTATTTGATGATTTTTTTTTTGTGTCGCTTGCCTAATTCGTCGCGGAATTTCAGTGAAAAAATTGTATAAATACCATTTCAAGTGGTTGAAAATTACGGTATGAGGTGGTTTTTAATCAGTTGTGCCTTTTAAAAAAATAGCAAATTTTCATTTTTTCAGAGAATTCGAACTAAAAAGTCGTATTGACTATTTCAGGGAATAGAAATCTTGATGTTACAGATAATTCCAAATCATCTGACAATTATTTTACAAGAGCTTTTCTCTTAGTTTCCAACGATTTTTCGTTGATTTTGCCTCTGATCCTGAATTATAAGCGCACAATTTTTCCTGACCATTTTTCCTATTTCAACACATGCTAGTATAGACGATTTAAAAGAATATATCTCCGTCAAACAGTTTCATTTTCTCAATTAATAATTTTCGGTAAACAAGTGGTGCAAGTGTTGACAGAGGTAGGCGTGCTATCGGAACGGAAAACAGGAAAAACGGGCGCGATGCACATCTCTTAAAACTCATT